ATACGGCGAGTATATAACAAACTCTGTATTTTGAGTGGAAATGTTAGGGGGTTGTCTTATACGCCCAGTCGTCTTATACGCCGGCAAATACGGTATCTTATTTTGAAGTAAAAATACAAAACGGGAACAAATACAATATTTGTATTTGCATGTGGCCCGCAGGCCGTAGTTTGAGGACCCCTGGCCTAAATATTGCTATCTGGCCTCAGAAAAAAAACCGCTGACCTGCTCTAGATCATAATCTATCTCCTTATTCTTACCCATTTAGGCTCCTTTTGTCTTTATTTCCTTATCTCTGGAGTTTTAGTTCGAAGTCTATCCCTTCAACCATTCTTTTGCCAATGTACTCAATTTTCTTATCCCCTTGTTTTCCAGGAATTCAAGTATTAACTATTTTCATTCTGTTTAGCAAGTGTTCAGACCAGTGCTTCTTACTAAACTCACGGTCACACATGTCAACCAGACCCTTAGTTTTTCTCAATCCTACCATTTCTTAGTTTGTCTTCCTGTTCATTTGTTATAAATCTCTACTTTTTGTAAACCTCTCACACACTCTTAGCAGATAATTTTGTCTCAAACATAAAGCTATCATATTAAATACCTACCACCAAACTGAAACCCTAACCTACAAACCCATCACCTAACTTCCTATATTCTCTCTTGGTAACAATAAAAGACTTGCTCCCCCTGTCATTCTCTAGCTGTGTTCAGAATCCAATCCCTATCACGTTTTCAGATACCTTCCTACTTTGTATATCTCTACTTTCTCATTTTCATTTGCTCCTCCTCAAAAAAATACATCCCCACACACACACTTGCTTCACCGTTTGTGTCCTGTCAGCTGTTACCCTCTAATCCCACTCCCTCACTTTCACAACCCAAGCTTCCTGAAAGTTGACTATACGTAGTTTTCATTTTCCACTCATGTCTATGTTTCCGTCCTCACCTCTCTTCTGAAACTGCTTGCAATAAATTCTCAGTGATCTCTCACTAAATTCTTCAATTCTCTAGACATTAATCAGTAATGATGAAGGGTCCTTACTTCTGAAAACCATTTCTCCTCTTTGTTTCCACTGGCTTCTCTCCTACCATTAGGACAACTTTTCTGAGTTTCCTTTTCAGAATTCTATTTTTCTGCCAGTTTTTTTTAATGTTGCCATTCCTCAGAGTTCCATTTTAAATCCTCTTCTCACTCTGCATAAAGTCCCTGGATGAGCCTTCACTCAAATGTCTTGAGTGCCGTCAGTACTATATGATGGTGCCTCTCAATCTACATATCAAGCCTATACCACCAGCCTAAGCTCCAAATCCACACACCTGTCTACTAGCCACCTTCACTTGATTGCCTAACAAATAAATCCAGAAGTGAACCCTCCATCTTCTAAAACTGCTTCTAGTCTCGTTTTTTAAACTACAACTGTGGGAGTCATCTTTGATTCTCCCTTTTATTTCATCCCTTACATCCAAACAAGAACCAATTCCTGCAGATTTTAGGTCCTAAATATTTCCTGAATACACCTACTTCTCTTAAACTCCATTGTTAGAACCCTTGTCTGGGTAACCTTCCTCATGTAGCCAGGTGGCTGTGACAGTGCTCTAACTAGTCTCCCCAATTCCAGTTCTGCTACTCTCTAACCCACCTTCTACACTGAAGAACAACTTTGATCACAAGAGTCCTAATTAAGTCCTTCAAGCGCCTTCTCATAACGCCTAGGATAAAGTGTCAACTCCTTAACATATTTTACAAGACCTTGTAACAAATTTTACCGTCTCTTCCCCCCTGGCTAACTCTCTAGCTTTATCTATAAACATTAATTTCCTCCCTCCAAATACTAGCCAGTTATTTCATTTCTCAAATGTGGCATATTCTTATCTCAGAAACTTTACATGCAAGAGGCAACCAACCTCCCCGTTCCCGCCTCCCTTCCACTCTCACTTAAAAAAAAAATGGAAAAAATATATCCTCAGGTAAGGATTAACAAAAAAATAAATAAAATGAGAATAATATTATCTTTATTAAATAACTATTTTAAAAATTACAGTTAACATACATAAAGCCCCTAGTACAAGGCAGGTATTTCAGTAAGTGATATAAACAATAGTTGTTATCTTCAGATATTTGATCCAGGAATTTAATCTGAAATTACGTCAAAAACAAAGTCACCTTAAAACATGGCAATAACTTTTAAACAACTTTTCTTTCTTTTCCTTTACATCTACTAATAAGTAATATTTGATTGTTTCCAGGTACTAGTTTTGTATTGTTTGGTGGGGTGAAGAGAAAGGTAGGAGAAGGATAAAGAAGACATAATGCAAAATAATAATAAAATGTTTCAGCTGTTTAAAGATGATCTAGTTATAGAATCTGCTGTGATGACAAAGTCCAAAACAATTTTGCACCTGAAACCGAGGGATTAGGCTCACTGGACAAGGAATTCCCCTATACTTAAAGAAGAAATCTTTTACTTCTATAGTTCCTACTCTTTCTCTCAGGATTTCAAGGGCATTCTGTACTTTGTACTGCACATCTCAAAGTTCCCCTTAATACTGGGAAGACCCAGCAAGAATCAGTTATGTTGATGTATGTTTCCCCATGAATTCTGATCCTTTCAGTAAGTGTAGAACATAAGCAGAAAATGGGAAACTAAAAGTAAAGGGAAGGGGATAAAAGAAGGAAGCTGGTGGAAAATAATCTAAATGACACTACATGACTAGTGTCAAAAGACAAGTAGGTCAGAAAAAATAACACACAAATAACTAGAAATCAACTTGCAGTTATAAATATTGTAGCTACCAATACTCGATATTAACTTCTTTTTAATCACTTGAACTTCCTTTAAAATTAGCTTACCAGAATCATAGCTTGGAGGCTTCATATCTCCCTGATTCAATTCTGTCCCATATTTCAACTTGTGGTATTTGGCTCTAACAAAGAAATGAGAAAATACAAACCATCTTAAAACATATTTAAGTAAACTTTTATATATGCAATAGGAGTAGTCATCAGTTTGCAGTCATCCTAGGTAACTTTCAAAGGCCCATAGCCTTCCAAGATGTCAAAGTCATAATACAAAAGCATTTGCCATTACTATTTTGTTGTTAGCCCATGAAGTGCTATTATAACAAATAAAGGACTAACACTGGGAACCGTACATCTTCTTTCTGTACTTACTGATGAACCATATTAACATGCTACCTTTTGTTGTATTCAAATTTTCTTGATAACTGCCAGAGTATTTTATTATCAAAAGCAGAAAAGTTTGGATTGTAAAATAAACTTGTAAAAGACTGACCTTTTTCAAAATCGAGTTTTTTAAAAAGAAAAATCATCTATAATATGTTATGTCTTGTCAGGCAATTATGATTTTCCAAGTATGCATTATATTGAACAATGCAAAGGACGGAGGGGGGAACCAGCCCAAATCATGAATATTGAATAAGATATTCCAGCAGAAATAAATAATATTTTTAATAGTCAAAGCATCCTTTGCCTTTCTTTGCAGGAAGAACTCAAGAAAAACTGTGAACAGGAATTCTTGTCTTCTCTTCTTTTAAATATGAATGTTACTATTTCTGGTTCATCTGACTTAACCATCTCAGATTTAACCATCTGAAACCAGAAAAATAAACTAGATAAGGTAAAAAATTTTAAGATTAACTAAAAATGGCCATACTTACTTAATTTATTTGTATATTTTAATTTGTTTGCTTCCCTGAAATATTGAGGCCATTTACAATAAATATTCAATATAATGAGACTGGAATAATAATTTGAAAAGCTAAGTAATAAAGAAGTAATGAAAGAGTAACATAGCGAGCCCTAGACAGTTTGGCTCAGTGGATATAGCATTGGCCCTCAGACTGAAGAGTCACAAGTTCGATTCTGGTCCAGGTCATATGCCTTGGTTGCAGGCTCCCTGGACGCGTTCGGGAAGCAACCAATCGATGTGTCTCTCTCACGTCGATGTTTCTCTCTCTCTCTCTGTCTTCCTCCCTTATACTCTCTCTAAAAAATCAATGGAAAAATACCTTTGGGTGAGAATTAACAGCAACAACAAAAAGAGAGAGAGAGAGAAAAGAATAATGTAGCCACTCTGAAAGCTTTTTTTGAAAGTTATTTTTATCCTTATAAAAAACTAATTGAGCACTTACTATAAGCTTTTTATATTTCAAGGAAAGTATAAAGAAAATGAAATTTATTTGCTCAACTGTATGAAGTACTGGAATTCTTCATATTATTTTACAATGATTATTTTGCAGTTACAACAGAAAAGTCAATGTTTTATATAGATAGGAATCTTAAGAAAACCTATAAAAGTTATAGACAGCTGATGTTCTATTTCTTAGAGTAGGTGGTGGGTACATCATTATTTTTTATATTAGTCTTTATGTTCTGCATAGATAGAAAATGTTTTGTAATAATATCTATCCATTAAAAAGAAAAAAATATTTGTTTGCTAATATGGATTGATCTCTAAGCTTAAGTAAAAAAGCAAAGTACAAAATACTATGTATTTATGTGGTTTATATGTATGTTATGTATATTTCATATGCACTGAATATTTCTGGATACATGATACATAAAACATCAGTTAAAATGATTTCCTTTGGGAAGGGAAATCAGTGAACTGATGCAGAAGGGAAACTACTTTGTGTTATTTGGAGAATTAACCATATGTATATATGTCTTTTTAAATATTTTTAGTAAGTATTTTGTCCCAAATAATTTAGAACATTTTTTCTCTACTCCCAATGCTTCCCTTAATCAATGATTTCCTCACCATACTAAACATTTCCTAGTCTACCTCAATGTCTTTGTATTAATGTTATTATAAGAGGGTAAGATTTAGAGCCATTAAATTGACTCAAAGTAACAATACCTCCTAGAAGTCACAACACGAATTGAAAATAACTGGCTGAGGACAGAGTAGAAGTAGCAATAAAATTTTATGGAATTAATTTATATATTTTTGTTATATGCATATAAAGAAAAACATTTTCAAACACAAAATACTGCATTATAGTGCATTCTAGTATTCTTAGGAAAAACTGCAACAGAGCTACAGAAATGAAACAAAATATTCTATGCAATATATACAACAAAAAATAATAAAACACTATGAACTAACACTTCATAAAAAATTAGACAAAGACAAAATAAGTAAAGAAATGCTGTGTTTACAAGCTGGGTTCCCTTAAAAATAATTTCATTATATCCAATAAACGTACTGAATTCTTATAACATGCCAGGCACTGTATTGGCTGCTGGGAACAACCTGCAACTTGTAATCAATTATAAGGTGGAGGCAAGACGATGCCTAAGAGACAGAAATGTAAATAAATAACTACAGCATACTGTTGGTTAAGAGCTCAGAATTATATCAACTGTCAGAGAAATTCAGATACGGAATTAGCTAATTCTGTCAAAGGTGGTGTCAAGGAGACCTACCAAAAAGGAGATAACACATGAGATTTTAGCTAAAGTTCAAAATACCGTCAGTTTCCCCACCAAATAAACTGATATAGAGAGCATTTCTGTCAGAAGAAACATCTAAAAGTTCCTCAGTGTGTGTGTGTGTGTGTGTGTGTGTGTGTGAAGTGAGTCAAAAAACAGCTGTGTGTATACGTATGTGTGTGAATGTGTGTCATGTGTGCATGTATATGTATAGGACTAGCAAGGGGCCTGGATGTAAAAGATTTTACTAAGCAGAATTTTGAAATTAGCCAGATACTTTTAAGCAGGGATATAATATCTGTGTTTTAAAAAACTAGTCCAATGAACATGAAAATATCTAAGAGGTCTAATTCACAAAGAAATAATTTATTACACTTCAATAGTGCCATTATATCAGGAATAATCTCAGATCACTCCATGAACTTCAAAAGATACAAAATCAGGGACTCTTTTCCAGGAAAATCCCATTTGTTAAAAAAATCACGCACAAAAAACCAAAACAAACAACTTCCCTGGACCAGGCCAGTCTTTCTCTCCTATTTTCCAAAGTCAAACTACTTGAAAAATATGCGACTGTATCTGTCTCCACTTTACCTTTCCTACTCACCCCTCAGTCCCCTATGATCTGGTTTATGTTCCTGCTACCTCACTGAAGCTGTTCTGGCAAGGATACCAACAAACTCTTAACTGGCAAATCCAAAAGACTATTTTCAGTATACAATGTATTTGGAGTCTGTTTGGCACTTACAATTGTCAAACTCCCCTTTTCTTGCTTCCAATATACTACTTTCTCCTTCCTTCTCCAACCATTGTTTTGTTGGCTTTTCTTTCTCTGCCTTTTCTTCAAATATTTCCATTTCTGTGACTACTATGGGTTCTATTCTCTTTCCAAAATATTTGTTCTTGTCTGAACTACTCCTATAACTTTACCCACAATATTGATGTGTACATTTCTAGTCATGAATCCCTCCCATATTTGCTTTTAAACCCTTAATTCTTATCCTTTTTAAAATTCTTAATTGTTACCCTTAAATTCAATTGATAAGTTCCAAAACTCACACTTGCAGAACCCTAGGAATCTTTCTTAAGTTATCTTTCTTCCTCAACTCCTATACCCAATTGTCTTCCAAATTATATAGATTCTCTATTTAAAATGTTTCACAGCTGATGCCTCCTCTCTTCTGCAGCTACTATGCTATAGTGTCTCATCCTCAACTATTACAATCTTCCTGCCTATATTAACAGATTTTTCCAGTCCATCCCCCAAAATGAAGTCAGAATGATCTTTCTAAAATCTATTTCACACTATTCCATGCTTAAACCTTTCAATTGCATGACAACTAAATGCAATATGTATTTCTAGACCAGAAAAAAAAAACACCTATAAAGATCATATTAGAATATTTGGTTAAAAAATGCTATGCAGATCATCACTGGAACATATGAATATGGACTTTGTTAGATAATGGAACTATATCAACATTAAATTTCCTTAATTTGATAATAAGCTGTAATTATACAATGGAATGTCCTTGCTCTTAGAAAATATATAGGAAGGAATTTAGGAGAGAAGGGATTTAATGTCTGCAACTCAGTAGGAAATGATTCAGGAAAAACAATGGTATAGTGTGCATGATGACAGTTAATATACAGAAATGTGGTCAAATTGATGAATCTGGGTAAATGGTATACAGGTCCTGCAACTTCTATTAGTTTGAGATTATTTTAGCAAGTTTCTGAAAATTTTCAATATTCCCTATTATATGTAAGATAAAAGTTTCAATTCCTTAGTTATGCTTTCTGTGATCACTTATCAAATCACAACTAACGTCCTTCCTTACAAAACACAGTAATTATAAATTTCTGAACACACCAAACTGCTTTATTCTGTGTAAAACATATCCCTCTCTACTTCCTGAACCTTGTCTATTATTTTTTATAGTGTTCAAACACATTATTTTTTATGATGGCAAACATTATTTTTTATGATGTTCAAGCCTCACCTCTTCTAATTACACCTTCCTTTCTACTTCCACCTTCCAGACAGAAATATCCACTCCCTTCTTTGTGACCCACTGTATCTCATACAGATTTCTCCCATAGCACCAATCAGAATGCATCGCACTTTGTGGCTTCCAAGTATGTTTCCAGTTACTGTAAGCCAGTAAGGACAAGGACTATGGCCTATGTTTAGACTCAGGTCCAGCACAAGTGCTTAAACTGGATGCACAGATTAATATGTTTAATGAGAAGGGACACGGACACACACACAATATTCTTGGTTATATAATATCTGTGTATTTCAATACTTCCATCTTACGAATACTGTAACGTTCTGGTAAAGAGTACAGGCTTCAGAAACACAGACTTAAGCAATCTGAAGCACAGCTCTACTTGACTGTAACTCTATCCAGTCACTTTGTTTTTAAGCCTCAGGGCTGCAATATAGTAGCTAATAAACAGTGTCCATTTTATTATTTCTCACTTCACTTCTGCCTTTAGTTTAGATAGCATAAAGTCTCAATTATTCCAAAATTATTCCAAAATTACTACCTTTAAAAGTCTGGGTGTTTTTTTCCATCTCCCCAATCCAGTTTTCAATCAACTTCTCAAGGAAAAGAACTGCCTATTTTTCACTAAGAAGTCAACCTGTTGTCAATCTCTTGTGCCACTTAAAGATGCCACACGAAACTGAACACAAATTCCAATAAAGTTTTATTTCTTAATATTCATAAATATTATCTGCTAAATGTTATTTTATGGTAGTTTTGCAAATAGCCCATACATCAACTTCAAAATAATGAGAAAAGAATGTGATCACCAAAAATAAAGCAAAATAGAGAATTTCAATATATCTATCAAGTACTCAAAACAAAGAATTGTTTCACACCACTGATGCATGCACGCGTGTGCGCACGCACGCACGCGCGCACACACACACACACACATCCAAAGACCATCATCCACTAAAGCAAATAAAGCTAATTTATATGAAAATTTCCAAAACTCTTATTTATGACGTATTATCCTTGACTTATGACTCAAGTGTTGTAATTTGAGTATCTCAGACACTAGCAAACTAAAAAGGTAAGGTTTGCTTATGGAGAAATATGAATAGCTGATAGCAAAGGAACAAAATATCAAAAAAATTTATAAAAAGATTCCTCTGTCAGAGCAATTTTTTTCCAAAGAAAATACATCAAGTTGAGTAATATTAGATGATACGAAAATGGTTATAAGCATTATAGAATTTCCTTTACAACTAAAAACTATTTCAATTCCATAAAGAAATGGATAAAAGTTCAATAAGTACATGTTCCTTAAGAAAGAAGAGGGTATGAGAAAATTGTTGCTAAAATTTTTTTAATCATATAAATCAGTTTATTGGTCATTATTAAATGTTAACAACAAAATAAAATTAACATATTACAACCATTATAAACATTTACTACAAATGACATTTCCTGAATTCAGAAGCATCAAGTATTAAAATTTAGATTTAAGAACGGCAGGAAAATTATTCCAAATTTTAAGAGAAGTCTATCTTGCATTTTACTGAATTACCTTTCCTGTTTAAGAGCATACTCCAGCATTTTGATCCTCCTCACAAGATCCTTCTTCAAATTTTCTTGGCCTTTCCTTTCACCCTGAAGAAATGCAATCTGGGCCTGAGTAGGGAAAAGAAAGATAAAACTCAGCTTAGAGCAAATAATTTTTTTTTAAACTCAGTTGAGGAAAGAACCTTTGGAAGATAGGACAGTTAGATGAAAAAAACATTTCCTTTACATATCTGTCACAAAGTATGCAAGTATATAGGAAGGCACTGACTGCAAGGAAAAAAAGGGGGCTTAATGTATGATTCTGGACTAGATTTGGCTATAAAAGGAAGTCACTGGGACAACTGGCAAAACATGAATGGGGTCGCAGGATTGGAGATAGTTAACATGTCAATGTTAGTTTCCTGACTTTGATGGCTATATGTGGTTACATAGAACAGTACTTGTTTATAGGAAATAAACCCTAAAGTATTTTGTGGGAGGCTATGGACCATCAGGCTGGGTAGCAACTTGCCCTCACATGGTTCAGGACAAAAATAATTCTTTGTATTGTCCTTGCAACTTTTCTGTCAATATAAGATTTAAAATCTTTTATTTTCAAACAAATACTATGCCAACTTCCTTGCTATGATAAGATACAAGCAATACAATTTAATACCAGCATCATGAATAATGAAGAAACCCTAAAAGTACTGATAATCAGAAACAAAACAAGGATGTTAATTTTTCACCACAAATATTTTACCTTGTTCTGGAGGTGGGAGCCAGTGTCATTAGTTCAGAAACAAATAAGTTTAAAAATAGAGACAAGCAAATTAAATTACTATTATTTGCAAATGATATGAGTGGATACCTGGAAAATCCAATAAAATTAATTGTAAACAATTATAAAAATAGAGGAATTTTAGTAATGTTGGTGCATGTAGAAAATAATCAATTGAAACCCATGGGCTTCTATAAAAACTACTAGTAAAATCTACACTAATAAAAGAGAAACATGGTAATTGGCGTACGACCGCTACCCTTCCCATTGGCTAATTCCCCTGTCACTCACAGAGTAGGGCTGAGATATGCAAATTAACTGGCAGCCAAGATGGCGGCCGGCAGCCAGGCAGCTGATGCGAACAGGGAGGCTTGCTTGCTTCAGTGACGGAGAACTCCAATGTTCCCCGCCTGACTTGCCCCCCTCTCAGCTGCAACTCTCAGCAACTATGTTGCGAATAAAGAAGCTAAAAAAAAACCCCAGAAAACTGCTTTACTCGGCCAGCCGGACCGCAACATTATATCAAATACAGACGGTAAACAAAAGCCAGAAACCTGTTTTCAGCAGCCGAGGCCTCAGAGCTAAAGCTGGCCCAGAAAAAAAAAGAAAAAAAGGAGTGGTTGGGACCTTCAGTCCCAGCCTGACAACAGCCCTCAGCCCCTCACCCAGGCGGGCCAGGCCCCCCAGGGGGGACCCCCCCCCTGATCCAGGACCCCCTTCAGGGCAAATCAGCCAGCCCCACCCGTGCACCAGGCCTCTACCCTATATACTAAAAGGGGAATATGCCTCCCAGCACGGGGATCAATGGGACAGGGGGCAGCCCCCAAACCCCCTGATCGCCCTGCGGCTCTGTGTGGGACAGGGGGCGGGGCCCCCACCCCCCCCCCCCGTTCCCCACAGGCCCTGCTCTGTGTGTGACGGGATAGAGCCATAACCTCCCCATTGGCCCTACCCTGAGTGTGAGAGTGGCGGCGCCCCAACCCCCTGATCGGCCCTGCTCTGCGCACGACCAGGGGCTGACCCTAGGGATTAGGCCGGCCCTCTGCCACCCGGGCGCAGGCCTAAGCCAGCAGGCTGTTATCTCCCGAGGGGTCCCAGACTGCGAGAAGGCACAGGCCAGGCTGAGGGACCCCCCCCCTCCCCCGAATGCACAAATTTTTGTGCACCGGGCCTCTAGTGATATAATGAAAGGAAACAATCCCACTTATAATAACAAAAATGGTAAGATGATTAGAATAAAATAAGAGCTATGCAGAGAGTATTTTAAATACTACACTAAAAAGTGCCTGAAACAAATGAGAAGCAAAGCCATGTTCTTAAAAAGAATTACAATGATTTTATTTCTCCCTAAATAAATCTTTAAAAATTATGCAAGCCCAATTAAAATACCAACAGTATGTTTTTTAAAAGCATCATAGTCCTAGCTGGTTTGGTTCAGTGGATAGAACGTTGGCCTTCAGTCTGACGGGTCCTGGATTCAATTCCGGTCAAGGACACATGCCCAAGTTGTGGGCTCGACCCTCAGTAGGGGGTGTGCAGGAGGCAGCTGATCAAAGATTCTCTCTAATCATTGATGTTTCTATCTCTCCCTCTCCCTTCCTTTCTGAAATCAATAAAAATATATTTAAAAACATCATACACAATGATTCTAAAGTACATATTGTTAGGACTATAGAGCAATACAATCATTAAAGGCCATTTGTAAGCTTCCCCCACAGGAGAAAGGCCAGAAAAAACTTGTTGGACACCAGGAATCAGACCATATAAGGAACTGAAACTGTCTAAAGACACCTGATTGCACAACTGCATTCCATGAGCATTCCAAGCTCACCAGCCCCCAGACCCACTGACAAGAGCTGCCCGCCAGTGACTGCATACAAGGATGAAACTCTAGGTCTTGAGTGCTGCCATCATTATCCCAATGTCCCCTGTGCAGCCCCTTCCCTTTGGTTATTCCATCTGTCATCCTTTTCCTTAAATAAATTCAATATTTTAATTTTTCTTAAGTACCATCTGAGACGGCTATTTAGCCCGTCTGCACGCATCACCCACGTTAACCTTTCACATATGGAAAAATTAAAAAGCAACAATAAACAAATTATTTAAAAGCCTTAAAATATTTTAAAACTTAAACTTTTATAAGTCACTTAAAAAGTGTAGTGATTCATAAATGGAGACACACATGGTACAATCACAAAACAAAGCCAAGTATATACAGGAATTTAGTTAAAGCTAAAGGTGACACTATATGCACATGATTGGGGAAAATGTGGATTATTCAATAAATGTTGATGGAAAGCCATCTGAAAATTATTAATAGTGCCATTATATCAGGAATAATCTCAAATCAAATGCCAAATGGGTCAAAAAATTTTAAAGGAGCCCCAAAGTGAGAAGAAAAGTTAGAGTTTGTTTTTGTTTTAATAATCTCAGGGTTAAGGATGCCTTTCTGAAAATAAGACAAAACTCAAAGCCATAAAAGACTAATAAACTTAAACTCAAAAAAATAAAACAGTTACATATGGCAATAAAAAATTGTTGAACAACTAGCATAAAAAGTAAGAATTATTTTTAAGCAAGTGTGCAAAAAATAGGAAAGCAGTCATTACAAATCACAAAAGTTTACTTTTTTAAATATATTAACAGTACCTACAACTCAATAAGGAAAAGGTCAGGAACTCAATAGAAAAACAAAGGACATGTTAATCGAAAGGAAATACAAAAGGCTCAAACATATGAAAAAGCACATGCAAGAGAAATGCCAATTAAAATTGCAATCAGTTAATACTGTTAAATGAATAAATGTGAATATTTGATATTTGCAACTCCAAGCCTCATGTATTAGGAGACTCCCAGGTCTCATCTTAGCTTTTTTGTATACGTATGTGTTCTGCTCTTATACCCAAACTAGATTGGAAGTGCACTGTGAGAAAGAACTTGGTTTTGTCCTTCCTTTATTCTTCCTTACAGCAATTTGGACTGTGGCAGGTATTAAATATTCCCTCAAACACTCTATTGAACTGGATGAAAATGGCGGACTTTATTTTCTTATCAGGATACAGCTAAAAACACAATGATAAACAAGGAATCTGGGAGAGAATCAAAAAAGCTAGTGTGTACTAGTCAGTTGGCTTGAGGGCCTACATAAGATTCATACCTCTGTGGGGTAAAGAGCTATGTTCCTTGCTCTTAACAGACCCTTTTGCTTTATTTCTGGCCACCTAATGTGTCACAAATGGTGTAAGTCAGTGGTTCTCCAAGTGTCCCAGAGTAGTAGCATTAGCACCACCTGGGTACTTGGTGGGAATGCAAATTTTCAGACCCCACTCCAGGCCTGTTGAATCAGAAACTGAGGGTGGGGCTGCCAGATGAAAGCTGTTTTAACAGGTCCTCTAGGTGATTCTGAGCTTAGGTTTGATATCAAGTTTGGTGATGTTGTCTTTAGAAGAAAGGGATAGCTAGAGGCAATGATTGCACGCCAGAGAAAAGCAACTAGTAGTAGCCTGGAACACTCCTTCCTCAGATTTCATCTTCTCAGGTCAAATGGCCTTATCAGTAGAGCCTTTCTTCCCCATTCTACCCACCCAAGCATTCCATATCCCACTTATCACATTTTATCACAGCTCTTATTACCATCTAACATTTTAAGAACGCTTTTATTTATTACTGTTGAGTTGAGCTTCATGTGGGTAGGATCTGTTATAATCATTGTTGTTTCTCCAGTGCCTAGAACAGGACCTGGCATGAAATAGGCATTTGAAAAACATCTGTTGAATGAAAATATGAATCACTAATGCCAAAATCTAAATTCATAAACACTCTAGTACCAGTCTCCATACCACATGCCCTAAGCTGTTCAATCTTAACACCTTTTTCAAAGGTCTGGCATTTCCAGGTTAATAGCATAGCCTCCCCTACTATGCATACACACATCAAAATCTAAGGACATTAGGGCTAAAGTAGTGACAAACAAATAAAACAGAGTTCATAGTCCAGTGAATGAAACATGTATGCTGAATAAAATATATGTGGATTGGTAGCATATGTTGTGTGCTACTAGAGCCAGAAATTACAGGCAAAAGCAGTGAATATACAAATAAAATACAGTGGGATGCCTATTTAATTCTAGAGGCAAGTAAAGAACTGATGTTTAACTCAAAAACTGTATCTTATTCCAGAATTAACTCTATAGTTAACTTTATCTTTTAACAAACTAGTGATTTTCCTGAAATTTCCTTATAAAGTTTGTGTCATTTTTATTTATCTAACATTTCTTTCAATCATAAATTTTACTTATTTATTCAATCATTTTTAGAACATAAATGTCCAAAACATACATTCCCATACA